GTCCACACAGTCCCACAGGGCATCCAAATCACTGTCAGGAAGGTGGGCACCTAAGCTAGACCCTAGGTCACCCAAGTCATGCATGTGGCCCAGCCACTCAAGCTGTCACTGAACAGGGAGTCCAAGCCCAAACCATCAAACAGGGCATCCAAACCACTGCCTGGGCACCTGGGCCATTCTGTGGTGACCCCGTGTCAAGTCCCTGCATGGGGCACCCAGTCCTGGGCATGGAATGGCAGCTGCTGTTCCTCCAGCTGGACAGAGACTTCCCATGTAGCTTTGCCCAACCTCACCCAACAGCCAGCAGCCAGGTGTGTGACGGTCCAGCACGCTCTGCCCTATGCAGCCGTTCCTTGGTGCTCCAGGGGTGCCGGCTGCTCTTTGCTTAACTGTCCCGGGCCTGTAGCTGCTCTTTCCCTCTGGGGGCTAGTTGCTTGCCTGGGATGCATGGGGGTGGGCGGGGGGGGGAGGGGAGCAGGTGCAGAAACCAAAGACACAGGTACCTAGGAGGACATGTGCTCAGGCTGCCTGGAGCTGGGGGAGCTGTGTTCTGCTGCAATTGAGAGCCGACTGCCTCAGGGATGGTAATTGACGTGCCATTATCACCGCTCACTCACGGCATTAAGATTTCATTGCTGGGCTGTGTCTCTAATGGACTCGGCTGGTGTTGGTTGGGGGCTGGGGTGAGTCTGTGCACATAAAACAGCCTTTCAGCGGGAAGCTGAGGGACTAGAGTGGGAGCTGTAGCATAGACTGGCTCAGCTGAAGACAAGGTGGGAAAAATTCCTGTGCCCTGTCTCTACTACAGCTTCCTCCGTGGCACCTGCAACCATCCAGGTGACTTAAGGCTCCCATTTTTGTTAGGGAAGATGTGAACAGCACGTGCAAACTCCCTCCAGGAGAGTAACACACCAGGAGAGAAGAGAGAGGCCCCTAGCCTGAGAATGGAGTGGGAACTGGCTACTGCAGAGAGAAGGAAAAAACTTGAGTTCCTTTACTCCCACTAGTGTCCACTTTCAGTTCTCTTCCTCTGTGGGACCACACCCAGAGCCTGTTCCATATGGGCACAGAAATCCAGCCCAGGTTCTTCTCTTGCCAGGAGGAAACAGGATGCTTTGTGATTAAGGCACTAGACTGATGTTCAGGAGACCTGGGTTCAGGTCCTGGTTCTGTTACAGACTCCCTGTGTGATCTGGGGGCAAGTCAGTTAGTCACGCTGTGCCTCAGTTTCCCATCTGTAAAATAGGCAGGTTATGAGGATAAACCTGTTAGTGTTTGTGGGATCTCAGGTACTGGGAGGGAAGTACTTGTATGAGGGCCACGCAGGTGCCTTGGTAGACTTGAGTTAGGATGAACCTATGGGGTGGAGATGACACATTGTGTGGAGCACTCCCATGTATTTATTGAATGGACAGGCCCAACAAGGACAATAACAGAACACCACTGGCCATCACATACAGCCCCCAGCTAAAACCTCTCCAGCGCATTATCCACGATCTACAACCTATCCTGGAAAATGATCCTTCACTCTCACAGACCTTGGGAGGCAGGCCAGTCCTCGCTTACAGACAACCCCCCAACCTGAAGCAAATACTCACCAGCAACTACACACCACACCACAGAAACACCAACCCTGTAGCAAACCTCGTTGCCTACCTCTGCCCCCATATCTACTCTGGCCACACCATCAGAGGACTCAACCACATCAGCCACACCATCAAGGGCTCATTCACCTGCACATCCACTAATGTCATATATGCCATCATGTGCCAGCAATGCCCCTCTCCCAT